TGCCTCCCCAATTAGGGAAGTCTCCCTCTGTGCCCTCCTCGTCGTATCATGGAAACACATTAAACTTTTACTTATACACGGTCAACTTTTTCCCTCATAATCTTTTTTTTTTTTTTTTTTTTTTTATATTTTTTTTAAATGATTTTTTTTTAATAGAGGCATGTTTATTTATTTGTTTGTTTGTTTGTTTTGTTTATACATGCACTGGGCACAGTCAGAAGCGCGGGAGGGTGAGAGAATTCACCAGAGCCAGAGCGGGGAGCAGAGCAGGCAGAAGGACCGAAGGACACTGCTGAGGGAAGCAGCGGGCGGCAGGAGAGGTCTGCGCGCCATGTGGGACCCTCCTCCAGTGGCCGGGGAGCAGCTGGGGATCGAACCAGCGCCGCAGAAGCCGCGGGCTGCTTCGCAACCCAGCGCTCAACCGCTGCGCCACCAGGGAGGCCCCACCTCATAATCTTTTTTTCTCTTCCACAACCATCCCCTGTCCCTTCCCCTCTCTCTTAATTTCAGCCCTAAGGATGTTTGCTGATGTCCACTGGTTTTTGAAAGTGTCTTATGTTGTTGAATTTCCTGCTTTATAAATTAAACTGTTAACTTCTTGAGGGTAGGAATCTATCTGTTTACCCATCCAACCATCCATCCTCCTACCCACTCATCCATCTGAAGCACCCACAAGTCTGGGCACAGGGCAAATAAACCAAGGGTCAATGCCAGCTCAACAATACTAAGCTCTGATTCCTCCACACTCTCTTGGGAGGCCTTGAACAAGTAAGTTTTATCAGTTGTTCAGAGCAGTGCAATTAATTGGTTCCAGTCTTATGATCACAATTGGAGAATTTTCCAAAGCCGTTCCTGATGTGTGGGGCCTCCTCCAGGCAGAGGTGGGAATTGGCTGCTCTCAGAACTCCCAGAGCACCCAGCTATCTTTGTGATGACATAACAGAAGGGAATCATTCTATCCTGGTTTTCAGGGAAATCTAGGCAATAATAAAGCATGCAGGGGAAGTGGGGGGCAGTGCTACAAAGGTGAGTGCGCTGGTTGGGGAAGAGCAGCCAGGCCAGTCTTGGCTTAGAGGGGGGCACCATAGTACAGCCTATGGGGGCAACAGAGAGATGAGGAGATTCGAAGCTCCCAGACTCCAAGCCACCAACCCCCCAGACCAGCTGCCAAAAGAAGCAAAGTTAGAGAACCCAAGTGGAGGCAGCTTATTTCATCAGCATCCAGCTGGTTAAAAATAACTTCACTTATTGGTTTAAATGAGATCACCACAGGGCTGGAAATTCACTGTCAGTGAAACAAAAATACGAGAGGGAAAATGAGAAAAGTCTGCATTTATGATGAACGTCCTTTCAAAAAAGAGACAGAGAAAGCGGCCTGAAAGTCCCACAGGCTCTGTTTTCTTTCCAGTCTCTTTCTGAGGCACAGGTCTGCCATTTTTAGAAAGAGCCCTCTTCTTTCCTCCTGGCTTGCCAAAGGGAGCAGCGGAACAGAACTAAGTGCTGTGAAGCATCATCAGGAAAAAGGCAGCCTCTGGAGATAAAACTGCACTGGGGTGTACACTGAGCGAGATATCACCTACACCCCAGCAGGAGCCTCAAGGAACAGGCTGTTCTCCTTGCTTCCGCCCAGGCGGCACCTTCCTCCTGCACACAGATAGCCCTTGTTGACTGCGCTTCAACAAAGGCCCCACAGAGGAACAGCAGTGGCTCAGCTGAGGGCCTTGAGGGCCTTGTGGGAGCGGTTCACATGCTCTATCTAAAGGACGAAAGGCAGAAGAACAGGGTCACAGTTTTTTTCTGAGTGACCTGGAGGAATCCATTCTGCTTTTCTAGAAAGTTCAAGAGCAACTCTCTGAACCTGATCAACTCAACATGCAATTCTGAGTCCCCCTTCATGCATCACCAGAAACCTCCTGGCAAAACAGGTCCTGTAGGGCGAAGACTCCGGTCTCTCTATCAGCCCCACTCCATGCAGCTCTCCTTACCTCCAGGGGAGGGGAGCCCAGCAGGGCTTCATGCAGGTCCCCTAAGGAGGCGCATGCCACACCTGCTCTGCTAAAATGACTCCAGGCCTCATGAATGTGCTTCATATTAGTCCCCATGACTCAGTTTGTTTTTGTCTGCTGCTATTATTTTTTGGAGGAGTATGTGGATCCTTTTGGGGGAGAAGTTTTATTTTCATATAATTTCAAAGTTACAGAAAAATGGTAAGAACAAGGAGCTCCTGTAATATAATTTATCCAGAAGCACTAATGTGCTTTCATTTTGCCCTATTTGCTTACCATTCTTCTCTCTTGATACAGATACATCCAGATATAGACACATGCTTTAGAAATACGTATCTACAGAGACCAATATATTATATATCATGTACACATACCTGAATGTATGCATATATATCTATAATTTCTTCCTGAAACTTTTGAGAGTAAGTTACAGATATGATGTCCCATTGCCCCTAGAAACTTTGGTATGCATGTTCAAGATCAATAATACACTCTTACATACAGTACAGTTGTTAAAATAAGGAAATTTAAGCACTGGCACAATACTATTACCTAATTCATAATCCATATTCAGGTTACATCAATCATAGCTTGTCCTCCCAGCTCAGGACACAGTCCATGATTGCAAATTTGTTGTCTTTTTAAAGTCTCTTTTAATCTAGAAAAATTGGTAGGGCTTTTTTTTTTTTGTCTTATCCTTGACATTTTTTTTAAAAGTTTACTTATTTATGCGTACAAGAGCTGGGGTACAGACCAGAGATGCAGGGGCTGAGAGGATTCACCAGAGACAGAGCGGGATGCAGAACAGGCAGACTGAGTGAAATACACTGCTGAGGGGAGCAGCAGGCAAGTCAGGAGAGGTCTGCTGTGCCATGTGGGTTGCTCCCTGGCGGGCTGGGGATCAAACTCGTGCTGCAGAGGCTGCAAATTGCTTCATAGTGTGGTGCTTAACCCCTTGCACCATCAGGGAGGCCCTTATCCTTGACATTTTAAAAAAGCATATAGGTTGGTCATTTTGCAGGTTGTTTCTCAATTTAAGTTTGGCTGTTTGCTCAAGTTAAACATTATCAGCAGGAGTACTAGTGAGCTGAAGTTGTTTTCCTCTGAATGTCGTAGAGCAGATGGCCATCAGTGTGGACATAACTCAATTTTGCAGTCACTATCTCAGCTTTAACCTCAATGCTCCAGATGTTCCAGATGTGAATGGATGTTTCTAACCTTAGCTTCATGCACTACCATTGTGGGCAAAAGACACATATGCTTGCATGCACACAATCTGTCCAATGGCCTGTGTGGTGGAAAGCCCAGGTTAGCCTGTTGGGTGATGAGGAACACATAACTCAGTCACCCCTGACACCCTGGCCAACAGCCAGCCAACTCCCAGAAGCAAGGTCTCTTAACCAAGGGCTGACCAGAGACTCATGCATCATGCCAGCTGAGCCCAACAGAAGAACACAAATTGCTGGTCCAAAACAATAATGATTTAAATAAATAGTTGTTTTAAGCCTCAACCTCTTGGGGTGTAAGATAGTTGAACCTTATACCTCCATTCATCAGAGGAAAGAGATACGACTCAGAATTCCTACATATTCATTTGAGATCTCTGTAGAAAGAAGATTGTTCTGTGTTTCTTCTGCCTCTGTCCTGTCTCCCTCAGGGAGCTGAACCTTTGTGTATATTTGGGATTCAAAGGATCATTTTAATAATAATTTTTTTTAAAAATCCATGGATATTGTTCCCTCCAGGCTGTTTTGGAGCAAGACCACATCTTTCAGTTGCTTGATTGGACACATATCAGAAGGCTCTCAAGACACTTCTTTTACCTAACTTTTCAACTGCAGAAGTCTTTCTGGAGGGAGACCCCACAGCAGAAGAGAAGACCATTACTAATAACATCTAACAAGCACCTGCCAGGGGCTTAGGGTTTACTTGGGCTGGCTGAATTACCAACCCTTCTGGCCCCTTTCCTGGAAACTAGGATTTTGTGCCTCTGGGAAGCAGCCTAAGAGTTTATAGTTCTAACAATTTCATACGATATTTCTCATCATCAGAGAAGTAGTTCTTAATCCGGGCAACAAACTAAACTCATTGGGGAATTTAAAAAAACCTCAATGTCTAAAACACTTATACCAGACTCTCTAGGGTTGGCACCCAGGGTTCAATATTAAAACTTCCCAGATGAGAGCGATGTGCAGTCAGGTAATAGCTGTGCTCATTTTTGTGACTGGGGAGTGAGCAGCTGGCTTTTCTCCCTTTGCATAAACATTCCCTTCCAGTGGTATTTGCTTCTGAGAATGATGGTATACTTATTTCAGTGCACGCAAAATGCTGTCCTTGAGACTCCTTTATGATTTTCTCCTCACTACTCAGCTGATTTCCCAGAAGAAAGTTTAATTTTCTTTTCTAGGAAATATCTCCCAATTTCCTTTTGGGGGAAATGATTTCTTTTATTGTGCTGACCACCATGAAAAGAAACTGAAGAACAAGCTGTATCAGCCACTATAGCAGTGCCATGGGGGTGCTCCATATTCCCAAGATGCCTTTACCATTCCCAGGGTCAGGGGCTCCTGGTGGGTACCTGTGCTTCTTTGTCAGAGGGTGGCACTTGGCTACTGGAATCCTTTGCTTGGGCACACCAAAAGTCAGAAGAACCTGGAAACTTTTATCTTCCTGAAGCAGCCCAGTGACTGACAGGCATAGTGGTATAAATACCCCAGTTCCCTGGCCCTTGATCAGGAAAAACATGACGACCTACAAAACCTCCAGAGAACCCCTCACCTCACCACCTATGGACTTTGCTTGGAATTACCCCTTTGCTTGGCTTCCTTACTCTCCCGATCCACATCCCCACTGCCCTACTGGCTTTTTTTGGGAAGACACTGATAAACCATGTTTAGTGAAGCCTCATCTCAATACTTGCTTCTAGGTAACAAGCCAAGGAGTCAACCCTCAAAAGCACACCTTCCAAACCTTTGCAAAGGCTCTGGCACTGACCTTCATCCTTTATACAAAGGGCGTTGTATGTGCCACCAGGAAACGGGTTGCTGTCAATTCTCACATCAACAGCTCTCAGGATTTGCTGTTCACCACTCCCCTTGCTACACACGGTTGTCCTGAAATAAAGAACGTGCTAGATTAGGAGAACTAACGAAAAATGGGAAGGAACAATTATTTTCTGTTGTCAGCTCTGAATTGGAAGATTTTTCTGATACAGGAGCTTTGACTTAAACCATTAAGGTAGAAATATTCTCCCCAAACACAGGTCTAAAATTAGAAAGACATGGATGATGCTTAATTTGAAGTCATATGTATCAATTCATATTTCAGCACAATACACTGTTGATCCCTTATAGTTTATTTCACATAATTCTGCTTCCCTTTATTAGTTCATTTCTTTTTGAGGGATTCGTTTTGTTGCTATTTTCTAGATTTCTTAAGAAACATCATCAATTCATGAACTTTTGGCCTTTTTTGTTTTCTAGCACAAGCATTTTATGACTTTAGATTTCCCTCTAGGTATAGCTTTCGTAGCATATAAATTTGAGTATATTTTCAATAGCATTCAGAGTCATATATATATGTTAATTTCCATTATAATCCCATGATTACTTATAGGTATCTTTTATAAAAATGACTAGAATTAAAAAAAAAAAATCCATCTGGAAATCTTTTGTTTTCTCCGTGGAGCAACTCATTTACTTAATTCAATAACAAATATCTTCCAGTTTAAAACTGCCATCTCACAAAATGTTGTTTTTTAAAGATTCAGTTTTTATTTATTTATGCGTACAAGAACTGGAGTGTAGGCCAGTGGTGTGGGGGGTGAGAGGATTCACCAGATTCAGAGTGGGGAACGGAACAGTGGATTGATTGAAATACACTGCTGAGGGGAGCAGCGGGCGCGACAGGTGAGGTCTGCTGTGCCATGTGTGTTAGCTTGCTGGCCGGGATTGAACTCAGGTTGCAGTGGCTGGCGATAGCTTGATAGCACTGAGATTTTAACCTCTGTGCAACCAGGAATGCCCACAAAGTGTTTTATATTAGTTGTGCCCAGTCTCTTGTCCTCAATTTTCTTCTCCTCCTCTGGATTGTTTGAATGTTGATCTATTTTTTTTTTTTTTTTTTTTTTGGCCATTTCCTATTTCCTCTGTATTGGCTGGAAGTTACACATCCTTTTGCTGTTCTTTGGTGGTTACTTGAGGAGTTACAACATGATTCCTTGACCTATTAAATTTAATATTGTTTTACCTTCTTCCCCAACAAGGTAACTAAAAATGCTATGTAATTAGTATACTTAAAATACTTTCTGATTTACATGCCACTTTTTAGTGCTTAGAATTATTGTTGCCTTCTATATTACCTAATTTCAATTTACCCACATCTTACCCTTCCCAGTCATCTTTTTTTTTTTTTTTTTGTATCTGCAGCTTTTCCCCTGTAATTATTTTCCCTTTGTCAAAAGAGCACTCTTAGTGTAGGTCTGATCTAATGAATTCTTTCATCTTCAGTTTGTCTGAAAATTATTTTACTTTTGTTCTTTGAAGACTTTTTTTTTAAAGATTTATTTATTTATGCATATAAGAACTGGGGTACAGGCCAGAGGTGTGAGGATTCACCAGAGACAGAGTGGGGAACAGAACAGGCAGATTGACTGAAACACACTGCTGAGGGGAGCAGCGGGCAAGTCAGGAGAGTCTGCTGTGCCTTGTGGGTTGCTCCCTGGCTGGGGATAGAATTTGTGCTTCAGCATCTATGGATAGCTTCATAGGTTGTATCATAACCCCTTGCACCACTGGGGAGGCCCTCTTTAAAGACATTTTCACTGGATATAGAATTCAGTAATTTTCATCATTTTCTTTCTCTTTTCCTTTTGGAATTTGAATTACATGCATCTTCTTTACCTTTTACCATTTCTTCTCTACTCTTTATCCTTTTTTTCTGCTCTTTGCTCTGTATCTCTTCCTCTGAAATATGTTCCAGTTCACTACTTTTCATTCTGGCTTTTTTAATCATATGCTAGATCTATCAAATTCTTTTTTTAAAAAAGATTATTTATTTATTTATTTATACAAGCACTGGGTACAGTCAGAAGTACGGGAGGGTGAGAGAATTTAACAGAGCCAGAGCGGGGAGCAGAGCAGGCAGAAGGACCGAAGTACACTGCTGAGGGGAGCAGCGGGCGGCAGGAGAGGTCTGTGCGCCATGTGGGACCCTCCTCTGGTCACCGGGGAGCAGCTGGGGATCAAACTGGCACTGCAGAGGCTGCGGGCAGCTTCACAACCCAGCGCTCAACTGCTGCGCCACCGGGGAGGCCCTATTTATCAAATTCTTAATCTTAGTTATTATATTTTTCATTTCTAGAATTTCAATTTGGTCATTTTTATAGTTTACAGTCTTCTGCCAAAATTCATCTTCTGTTTTTTTCCATTTTTGAACATTTTAGAGAGAGTTATTTTAAAGTTTGCATGTACCAATGATAATATTTACAATTTCTATTGCTATTGTTTTTCCTGATTTTTATTCTTATTGCCTTATCTCCTCCTAGACTGGTTACTTATATTTTGTGACAAATAAATTGCCTAGGAGAATGTTATCTTCCTCTGGAGAGCAATTTTAAAATCAGCTCTGCTAATTTTCTAGAGCACAGAACTCCAGTATCCTCTCAATCTAAATTCATGGCCTCAGAAAACTTGAAGCAGCTCTAATGAGGGCCTGCGTACTTCTTCCAGTTTTTTCTTACTATTGGGGGTTATTCCTATAATATTTCAACCTAAATGGGACTCTCCAGACTCCTTCCTATGCAAAACCTGAATTTAAATCTCTGTCTTCCCAGTCCTATGAGGCTATCAAAATTGTAATTCAGCTTTATGAATCTGCAGAAGCTCTGGGGAATCAAGTAGTCCCTGATTCTGGATTCACCATTCTAGACTTCCTTCCTTTTCCAGATTTATGTATGTACTCAACACAAATTCATGGAAATACAGATCAGATCTGTGTCTGTATATCTACTATGTTATCAGTTGTAAGCTGCACCATGCATTTAATAATTTTCAGTGGGGCAGGGAGATGGCTGTGTAGGTGAAATGTAACTACTAATGGTTAGACACGTCTTGGTTCCAGAAACATTAAGTGGAAAAACTATTATTAATATGTTGTGTAGTAAATATATCAAGTAATTATGTTTGCTTTAGAAAGAAATATAATCTCTGCAATGTAGTCTTTACCGCAAAACCAGAGAGGATAGGGCCTCCCCGGTGGCGCAGTGGTTGAGCGCTGGGTTGCAAAGCTGCCCGCAGCCTCTGCGGCGCCGGTTCGATCCCCGGCTGTCCCCCGGCCACCGGAGGAGGGTCCCACATGGCGCGCAGACCTCTCCTGCCGCCCGCTGCTCCCCTCAGCAGTGTACTTCGGTCCTTCTGCCTGCTCTGCTCCCCGCTCTGGCTCTAGTGAATTCTCTCACCCTCCCGCGCTTCTGACTGTACCCAGTGCTTGTATAAACAAACCATCAAGCAAATAAATAAATAAATAAAATATGCCTCTATAAAAAAATATTAAAAAAAAAAAAAAAAAAAAAACCAGAGAGGATAAACCTATTCAGTCACCCAGTCCTAACTTATAATGCTAGGGAGTCACCTGGTTCCAAACTGTCTCTACAGAATCTCTGAATACCAGGTTATCTGATACAATGATAGAACGTTAAGAAAAATATTCACACTTGACTAAATTATGGAGATGTGCATGTACAGGACATATTTGTCTAGTTAGGAATGTGGATGTAAAATATAAGGCAGAGAGGGCTGCCATTTCAGATTTTCTGAATAGCACTGGATACAGCCTCAGTTGTCCCCTTCCTGTAATTACTTCCTCACATGCTGCCCATTTGGTGACATGAGTCAGCATGGCTCAGTGTTTTCCATGGTCAACTGCTAGTCAGATAGCTTCAGGATCATTATAAACCAAACCAGTTCTTAGAAACCATTTTGCTCTTTTCTATTCCTATGGCATACACAAGGAAGTAGAAGGGGCTGGTCTCTGATTCTGGCTAAGGAAGTAGCTACAGCATTATCAGAGAGATTTCTCCTTGCTGGCTGCAAGATGAACTTTTCCACAAGGATTCCTCAGTTCAGGAAATCAGCCAGGGCACAGTGGGAATGGTTAGGCTCTGCCCTATAATGTCCACGGCCTAAGCTGGGAAGACTTGTAGATAACTCAATGGAATAATTCAGAGGCTAGAATCAGGAGGCATCTCCATTCACGTCTGGCAGTTAATGCCAGCTATTGGCTGGTACTTTGGTTGGGGTTACTGGTGACAGCACCTACATGGGCATCTCCATGTGGCTTCCTTCTGCACAGCATGACCATCTCAGATAATCAGAAGCCTCACTGGCCTTTCAAAAGTGAGTATGCCAGAAATTCAGCCTAGATGCTTCTGCATAAAATTACTTCTGCTGTAATCTATCCATTAAGACAATATTATACCCATTTAAGGGGAAAAGGCATAGACTGCACTTCTTGTGGGAGTAAAGTGAAAGAATTTTGGTCATATTTTGAAACCTTCCTACCATCTCTTCCTGTATGTGTATGCAGATGGATTCAGCAGAGAAAGACGGTTAAGAAAATATAGTTATGAGTCATTACCTCTGTGGTAGGGAAGAGAAACACAGATTTGTAAAACTTTTTTTAACAAGCATGTATCATTTTGTAACTTCAAAAAGAAATTCAAAATAACGAAGTAAGGGAAAAAGTACTGTGAAGCACTCCATAAAAACGTTATGTGAGAACTCAAAACAAGAATGCACTGGAAGGCACTGTCCACTGCACTTTGCATTTCTGGCACCTCAACAGAACAAGTATTGCCCTATATAAGCCCCTGTGGGGCAGTGAGGGTGAGTCAATAAGTAGAGCTTCCCCAGCTCACCATCCTTACCCAAGAGTGCCATCCGCCAGCCAGCCCGTGGTACACACTGCCAAGGCACAATCCTGGACTACCCTCCGCAGCTCGTCTGCAGACACCAGGTGCGCGCCCTGGCTCTTACAGGAGAGCCGCGCTGCCTCCAGCTGCAGGCCTTGAGAGCCATTCAGAGACTCCAGCACGAAGAGCTTTCCTGGGTGGGAACAAGCATGAACACAGGCTGTCTTTAGGCTCCATGGCCATTTAATCTCAGAGAACTGTTCTCTGGCAGATGCCAGTATGGGTTGTAGTTTCCTACTTGCCTGGAGACCTAAGTAGCCACTGCACTCATTCCTGGGGTCAGGAGATGCCAAATACACTGATGCTGTATTCATTGATTTTTTTGTTTCTCTCTAAAAAAAAAACCCAAAAAAACCAGCATCTGTTGTGGCAGGTTTAAATCAACAAATCCTTCAAATCTTCCTTTCAAAAAGGTGTTTTACAAACACCTGGCGGCAAGTTTCAGTGTCCTTGGTTCCCCTGAGTTGGGGTTCTTGGTGTCCAAGAACTCAGACCTGACTTCTGCCTTCCCCTGCCTTCCCCAGCCCCGTGGTCACCGCATACACAGCAGGTTGCTTTCTTTTAATCTGTCCTATTATTTCAGGACACTACCAGACTCTTCCCACAATGAGGCTGCTTGTGTTTGCTAGACTTCTTTCTGACCCGGCAAGAGGGCAGTGGCATGTCCAGTTTACCAGGGTTTCCTGCAGCACATGAATAGATGGACATGAGATGGCCTCAAAGGACATGTGACAGATGGGTGGAATGGAAACATGAACTCAGGCAGTGGTGGAAGCAGAGGCCAATATCGCTTATGTCTATAGACCAGAAAAATACTAGCAAACCAAATCCAGCATTATGTATGTACATACACCCATATGTACCTATATACATATGTATAGTGTGTTGTCAGAAAAGTCATATTTTTTTTCTATATTTTTCAAGCCAAAAATACATCATGACTTTTCTGACAATGCAATATTAAAAACCTTCCCAAAAAGAAACCTCAACCATATATAATCTCATTACCAAACATTTAAAAAATGAAAATTCCCCTTACAGAGATCATTAATAGAAGAGGGAACACATTTTCAATTTATTTTTAGAACCATCATAATAAACCTGATGTCAATACCTGATAAGAATATTACCAGAAATGAAAATTACAGGCCACTATATTTCATGAACACAGACTCAATAATTCTTAATCTGTTTTCTCATGCTAAGCTCAATTCTAGATCAGCTCTTCTCACTACAAAGCCTTCCTCTAGAATTCCATCCACACATATGCTTTCAAAGACCATCCTCACACAGATGACTCATTTTTCTCTTAAGTCCAGACCTTTTTCATTTACCCCATCCACCACTCTAGCTCAAACCTTCTTTCTTACCTGGACAAATGAAATCACATCCTATATAGTCTCTCTCTCTCTCTCCAAACTTGCCCCGGTCCCATACATTTCAAAATGTACATCTGATTCATTACTACACTAGGGAAACCAATGGATTCTTTTCCTTTTTTTTGGATTAAAATAAAACTTGGCCTATGAAGTCCCACATTAAATGCATTCATGGCAATTTCCTTAGCATTATCTCTAATACTTCTACCAGCCACTCTGTCTCTTATCATATGTCCTCTACTCTCTGCCACTCAGTTTCTTTGCACATGATCTTCTTTACCTAGACAATCTTTCTTCCCCCTATTTGCCCAGTTAATTCTTACTCATTTTTCAGATTCTCCAACGCCAAGTCAAAATCTCCTATTATATGCGCTATAGTAATTTCTCTCCTTTCATCTTATCACTTATCAAAACTGCAATTTCACATTTTATTCATGTAATTATTTGCTTAATAACTCTCTCTCCATGGGGTTTTAAGCTCTGCAATAGCAAGGACCTGTTTCTCCACAACAAGTACAGTGTCTACTATCTGCTATTCTGTTATAGCAGATAGTAGAATAAATTGCAAAATTAATGAATCTTTTCATATTAGCATCACCCAAACAGTTAATTTGCACTCAGTTAATGTGAAGATTTTTCCATTTCAAAAGTATTTTAAAAGTACAGTAGTAGGTCTTATTTATTATGAAATGTATATCTAATTAGTCAAATGTAAAATAATTTTTTTTCATTTGGGTTTAACTCATTGCTTCATAGTTTAGAAATAATTTCCAGTTTTCTCCCTTCAAATGTCTGCAATGTGTAACAGTTTAGCTGAACATTTCTTCTTTCTGCTCCCATCACTGTAGCCCACAAATAACTAAAAGTGGAAAGTGGTGGTAATTAAACATATATTTAGTGAAGAAAAGAATCCTTTCATAATATATGTTATAATTCTTCAATGGTTCTACTATAAAAGTTGGAGCTCAGCAAATGGAATTTCTTGAAGGCAAGGTTACCTGCAGTTCTCCATTGAGGAAGAAGGGAGAATCAGGCACTCCTGATGAGCAGTAAACATGCAAGAAAATATGCTCTGACTTGTCATTATTTTATCCTTGTCTCATGATATTTCTGCCTTCAGTTTTGTGTGACACACATCAAGCCACATAGGCTCAACCTATTGATCCATATCCATCTGGCATTCTACTTAAGCAGTTAGGATGGGGTGAAACTCTAAAACCTACTGGATTGCAGAGGCATTTTTTTTTTAAAAGGAATTACAATTGATACAATAGTATATATACATTGTTCAAAAGTTAAAGCTAGCTCCAATGTATGCTACTTGCATTCTTTAAAATCAACCTAATATTCATGACTTAATGTCAGGCAAAAAAATGCCACTTTTTAATTCTGGTAATTAAAGAATTAACAGTGATTGACTGCTAAAAGGTATGGGATTTCTTTTTTGCATGGGGGAAATGTTCAGAAATTAGTGGTGATGGCTGCACAGTATAATGAGTATACTAAAAACCATTGAATTGTGGATTTTAAAATCAGAAATTTTATGTGAATTATATCTCAGTTAAAAACAACAGTGATCACTCATGGGCTTCAAAGTTAAACATGCTTTCTTCTTTAACACTTTCTCTAAAACTATGGAGAAGTAAGACATTCATCCTTATTGAGGAGCAGAGTTCTTCAAGCTAGTAGTTAGGACAAAGAACACCAAAATTTTTAAGATAATATGTAGTTCTGTCCTTGCTTTCCCCTTTCGCTAATCACCATGTTTCTTTTTGTCCCACCTTCTAGTTTCATCCAATATTGTTCGCTAAATAACAGAAGGCATGACAAACACAAAAATACAAAAAGTCCTAAAAATAAGAACATTCTAAATCACCCCGGGGTATTTCTCCTTCACTAGGCTAATTTGTCCCAAGCTTACATCTACTAACCCCCCCCAAGAGGGCGGGGTGGGGGGAGAGCTTCTATTCTTTGAGATCCTCCTGCACCAAATCAACAGGGATTTGTTTCAAAATCAAAATACAGTTTTTTGAATCAAAATTAGATTTTCAAAAATGAATTAATACTGGGTTTTGATTCTGCCAGTTTGGAGGAAGTACTGAAAGTTGAAATCAGGTTCAAAACCACACAAAAAGTAGGTCTATTCTCAGAACCTGCAATAATGTAGTCTCTACCTACTTCTCTAGCTTCTGCTCTCACGACATCCTCCCATTGCTCTGTCGGCCCCAGTCACCCCATCATGTATCCCATTCACAGGGCCTGCGCACGTGCCCTTCCCTCTACCCAGAGCACTCCTCTCGCCTTTGCCAAATCGATTCCCATTCATCTTTCCGATGTTCCTGGACCAGGTCAAAATATCAAGGGAGTTTTCCAATAACCGCTCGTGCCGTCAAGAGCGCATTTACCAGACCTGAAAGAGTGTATGTATCTCCGCAGAGGAGGTTCTCGGGCACCCTAGAAGTGACTGTATTTTAAAAACTTCCATGGGAATCTTGGGCAAGCTAGAGACGGGGCTGCGGGACCAAGCCACAGGTTTTCTCCGATGCGCGCCCGCGGTGAAAGGAGACTGCGGGGCCAAAGGGACAAATGCGCGCACGGTGACTTGGCGGGCGGGATGAGGCCGCCCGCCTCGTTCCCTCCCAGGCTTCTTGTTTCCCGAGCTCGAAAGGGAATCGCCCCAGAGAGCATCGTTTCCCCCACCCGTACCCCACGCTCCACCCTGAGCCCCTGGACACTCACCGTCTGCCCGCACCGAGGGGCGCGGCACACCCAGCAGGAGCAGCGCGCAGACCCAGAGCCAGGCACGGGGCCCGAGGCCCTCAGCAGCCATGGTCTGGGCGTCCACGGGCCGGCGGGCTCGAGGGAGGGCTCTGGCTGCGCTGGGGGCTGCCGGCCACTGCCCAGCATGCGCCACTTGGCCGTGCGCGCTGCGCTCTGCTCGCGCTTCGCAGGCTTCGCGCCCAGCTCGCGGAGAGGGAGGAGCGCGCAGAGTCGGGGGAGGTCGGGGACACCAGAGACACGGTGCTGGGGCCCCGAACTCCCGGGGGTCTGGTGCCTGGCGCCGGGGAGGCGGCTGTAGCCCGGCTCCGCCTTCGTGCCGGGCACCTGGAGTCCTCGGTGCCAAAAGAGGCTGCGCCGGACCACGAGCTCCCCGGGCGCCGCCTGGGCGGAGGGTAAGGGCGCTGGGAGGCGGGGAGCCTGGGAGAGCGAGAGCCGGCGGGAGGGAACCCCCTGCTTGCCGAGGGGACCCTCTTCTGCAAAAGGGTGACGCAGTCTGAGAGGCAGAGCTCCTCCAGGAGGACCGTTAAAAAAACAAACAGATGCCCAACTCTGTCCTGTCTCATGACTTTTCAGCTGGCGTCCTTCTGCTAGAGGAGGAACATTTTTATGAAAAAGAAGACTCTTGCCGGCACAGTCCAAGAAGTGAAGCACCCAGAGTAGCGAGCTTCCTGCTCCCTAACAGCGTAGCTCGAAAATCACTCAGAGAGGGAGACCTTGGAGACGCTAACTTCTCTGCTTTCCCAGGTACGCTGTAACATTTCTCCCAGGACATCCAGGGTGCTGGCGGGGTATCAGCATTACCAAGTCTCCCAAATCAGGTCTCCTCGCCTGGAGTCCTCCTGGTTCTTTCAGTCTGGGCTGGGGAGCTACATCTTAAATAAGTGTCCCAGTGAATTCTGCTGCTGGGGTCCCTGCCCTGAATTAATAGTCTTCTGCTCACTGCCTGTCCATCTACCAGCATCAGGGCTATACAGTGAAGGAAGAATTTACATTCTTCCTCTGGGAAGTAGTAAAGACCAGAATTGCCATAATTGGGGCTCTGATGGCACTGTTCCTTTTACAAACCCCATCCATCTTTATGTACTGGTCAATAAATACCTACTGTGTGCCACCCACAGTGTGCCTGGCCCTGTGCCAGATTCTGAAAGAGGCTACAGTCTGTCTTTAAAATGCTTACTCTAAAATAAGACAGATATTTAAGGAAAACTGAACAAATGATTGGTGCTGAAACAAATGATTGTCCCCGTACACTGAGCTAGGATAGAAACACCAAAAGACTACCTAGTCTCTTAACTGGGATTTGAACTACGTGTGATTTATGATAGCTATCACTTTTGAGCTTACATAATTTTTGAAGTGCACCGAAAAGTTATCTCATCTCCCCAAATATCAGCTACCAGACTGTTACTAGTGATTAATCCCCTTGTGACATAAAATTTTGCTCTCACTTATTTTTATTTTTTAAACTTTTTAAATTGAAGTAATGTTGGTTTACAACACTATATGGTTTAGGAGTATAGGTTCACACCTTTGCAAATGCATGTTACCACACCCCACCCATCACCCGAGTATACCATTAACACTGTCCCTTGAGACCCCTCCACCCTTGGCCCTCACTCTTCTCCCGCTCTGGCAACCTTAATTCTGCAGCCAGAACCCAAGGGTTTAAAACTTTGCTTTTATAATATAAATACTCTAGGGTGTTACATGCAGTGAGCTGACAATAAATCACATATAAATGTAAATTAATTTACTTAGCTACTTCTCCTCTAACAGCTGGCTGGTAACATAAGGAGTGAGATTTCACATGTCTAAGCTGGTGGGGACCTTTTCAAGCCTGGCTGTTGCTGAGAATGAAGGGCAAAGTATCAGAAGGTGTCTGCAGAAATACTCACTGAGGAGCTGTGCCCAGCAATGCTTTTAGACTAGTCAATTACTTAATACTACCTAGTTCTAATGGGGTTTTAAAGTTCGTCTTTATTTAGATCTGTCTTGGCCTGTCTTAATTTGAGGAGATGGTTTGCTGTAGAGGTTTAAGTGATACAACCGCTTTAGGAAACTATTTCATATAAAGTTAAACATATACCTCCCAATGACCCAAAAAATTGCATTCCTAATTGTGTATTCAAAAGAAACAGAAACATATCCATGCAAAGATTTGTTCACAGATTTCACAGTAGCTTTATTCATAATGATTAAAAACTGGAAGCAACACGAATATCATCAGTAGTTGAATGTGCCATATTCACACAAAGAATACTATTGACAAAAGAAATGAGCCACTTATACTTAATAATAGGGATGACTCAAAAATAGTATGCTGAATGAAAGAAACCTTACTGGAGGTCATGTGGTGTGATTCCATTTATATTGTGGACTGATAAAAAAATCCCAGTAATAGTGATAATCAGACAGTGTTTATCAGGCAATCAAAATGAGGATTCAAACCTGCAAATAGCCTGACAAATTTTACTGAGAGCTGCTCTGCCAGTCACAAGTTTGAGTGAAATTACAAACCTTAGGAAAGAAGGGAATAATCATTTTCTTTTCTTTTTTTTTTTTAAAGATTTATTTATTTATGTATACAAGAACTGGGGTACAGGCCAGCAGTGTGGAGGGTGAGAGGATTCACCAGAGACAGAGTGGGGAACAGAACAGGCAGATTGACTGAGACACACTGCTGAGGGGAGCAGCAGGCAAGTCAGGAGAGTACTGCTGCACCCTATGGGTTGCTCCCTGGCCGGGAATCGAACTCGTGCTGCAGAGGCTTTGGAGAGCTTCATAGGTTGTGTCTTAACCACTTGTGCCACCAGGGAGGTCCCAGGAATAATCATTTTCTTATGTCAAGGAGTGAAGTGACCAAGCAATACATTAATTTTTGACAAGGAATTCTGGTTTTCATTTGTAGGCTCTGAAGTGTCAAAACTTTCTTCGTTGTTTGAACTCAGAATATATATAAAAGGTCCTCACTAGCCCAGATGTATGAAATCTTATCTGTCTAGAGAGCACATACTGGCATGGCGATATGTTGGAGGGGAGGTAAGACTTCAGGATAGTTAACTTGACCTAACTCTCCTTACAAGATTCTTGGTTGGATACTTGTTTCATCCTCCTTTAATTGCCTTGGGCTGGCAACCCACCTGGGAGGGGAGGTGGTTGATTTCATTTTCCCCGCCAGCAGGTAAATGGACTTTTTGGCTTGACCTCTCCGCAGAACAGGAATTTGTCATGCAATTCAGATTCTATTCTCAGCAGGGATTTCGAACTTCCTTTCAGCCAGTCAGACCAGGGAGAGGGATCCCAAAAGGCACTTTAAGTTCTCAATATGATATTCAAGAAGGGGAAAAATTAATCTGTGGTGCAAACCATCTCTTAAAGGGTGTGAAAACAAAGTACTTTTGGCTTAATGGGAATGTTCCAGATCATGGTGAGAGGATATAAAACCTCCCTAAACTGTACACTTGACAGCTATATGTCATTGAATGTTGTCTATACATCAGTAACATATTTCAAAAATGATATATTCAGTCCTTGCCCTAAAGAATAAATAGGTTTAAGAGAGAGGAGTTTAATAAAAGGGCCACATTCAGAGATGTGGGAAGGATTGAGAGACACATTGAGGGGACGTATAGCTCTTGGGACTACCAAAAACAGGGACCCCTGCAACCGGAGCCCTGAAGGCAGGAGGGGAGGTTGAGGTGTTATTAAAATCCAGCAAGAGCTCTGATCCTGAATGGGGCCTTGGAAAGTAGCAGAAGCCATAGGAAAAGGAACAAAATCACTACCAATGGCCTGGTAGGCAAAGAGTGGGAAGAAATACCTCCACCTCTCTTTCCTTCTGTCCTTCAAGTTCCTCCTGGTGCCTTGTGTTGGTTGAAGCATTTGAAGGCTAGAGGGCAGAAGAGCACAGGCACAGCCGGACAGCCCCCCCAACCCCGCCCCAGGGCAGAGTTGGGCAGAGAAGGGTGGCCAATGTGTCTGGAGGGACAATTGGAAAACCAACCAGCACAGTTTATCTTTTTCTCTTTGATAAAAAATAATAATAACAAAAGTGAAGCACAGTGGGCCTCCCTTGTGGCCCAAGTTAAGTCTCAGCCCTATCACCAGGACAGCCTGAGTTTGAGTCCCAGCCAGGGAGGTGATCCACATGGCACAGCAGACGTCTCCTGTCTTGCCCACTGCTCCCCTCAGCAGTGTATTTCAGTGGTCTGCCTGCTCTGCTCCTCACTCTGTCTGTGGTAAAACCTCTCATCCCCTGCACCTCTGGCCTGTACCTCAGTTCTTCTGTGCTAAAATTAAAAAAAAAAAAAAAGAAAAGTGAAGTAAAGCAGGGGAAACACAAAGTCCTATCAGTTTCTGGATAATCTTGCATGATGTCAGTTCAATAAAATTCCCAGTTGGAGCTAAACTGTAATATTAACCACTGTCAGTGGTTGTTTTCACTTAAGGGCTATTTCACATACAGAAAAGAGGAGAAGTAAGGCCTGACCATAAAATGTAGATGCTATAGCCCCTACTTTTATAACTGGTCATGAGGATTTATTTGATAATTGTTGCAATGTTCCTCTTCACTTTCTGAGCATCTTGACCTGCTGGAGTTGTTTGTTTATTTGTTTTCAACTGGTGATAGGGACTGAAACTTTCATTTCTACTATGGACAAATCTTGATTATTCACATAATTATTTATGCCATGATGTTGCAGCAACCCAATTTCCCCTGGAAATTAGGATCAATCACCAGCCCAGAGAATGACTATCTACTCTGACTGTTGGTGAGCAATCTTGGCTTCCAATTTACTGGCACATGCCTGTGTGTTTGTTGGTTGAACTATTCCTATCTTGCACACTCAGACCTCCCAATTCACCAATCTAAAGGTTGTGTGAATAGTTTACAAAACTTTGATAAGTGAATTATTATGTTCTAGAAGAGGGGTCACTCCTTCTATTGCTCAGTTCTCTGACCAGTATATTCTGTCTTTATGAGAAATGACACTATATGTTGCTGCAGATTGAAGGCATGTACTGTTGATACATTCTGTGGTGCCTCAA